TAATAATATGTATTGATGGGTTGGCTTACCTTCAATAATCCGATTATTAATTCTGTATACAACAGAAATACTGGCTTATTGTCCCATGGATTTTCACTTTGCAAGTCTATCGTATGCAGTATATATTTTACACTGATGTTGAATACAACTGTTAAAAGAATGGCATATTCGAAGCCAAAGACAAGCTGCACGGAAGGACCTTTCGTCGCTGTTGTATTGTAAGCATAATGAATCATGGTCAGATTTATAGCGAACAGAAGACTCAACAGAGTGCCTACTCTGAGGTGAAATAGCCAAGTTATCACTGGACTCCTTTCCATCTGAAAACGAATAGAATAAAACCCTGTACAGCTTGAAACAGCTGATCTAATTCATCTATACTCACATAATCTACCCGATCTTCTGCCAACCAATGAAACGATTTTAAAAATAAAAGAAGGGTGAACAGTGCTATGAATTTTGGACTGAAGTCATCCCTAAATACTGTAAAGGCTAAACAAGTCTCTGTCACTGCGTACCATACCTTTTCCAATAAGTGCTATAAACAAACAAAATTCTACGTATACGTACACTTTGATGCAGTTTCGAGGTAATAACGAAAGTGACAAGTTCACTTACTTCAAGTTCAGCAGCACGCAAAGTGCCGAAAAATATCTTTCGAAGGAAAGCATTTATCATAAATACTAGAATTAAACCTTGCGTATAGATCACCTAAATCCCGCGGAAAAAATTGAACGAACAGATAATTTGAATGATCAAGAGGATTTAAAAGTAAGAGGAAACGTCGATACTTACGGTCATACTAGGGTTAGATTTGGTTATATGAACTACTGTCGGATAAAACTGTTTCCTTTGATAATAAGCGTTGCCTATCACAGCGCAGGTTAATGCTGTGCTTATTAACATTATACCAGCCTCTCTCATTTTTGCGGGAATCGTTCTTTCAGTCCAGAGGCTATCCTTTCGTGATCAAATGTTCGCTGACACTTATTTCACCAACAATTTACGTATCAACAGCTGTAGATCCGACTAGAAACAACGAGGCGCTGATATCATGACGACAACAACCAAAACTATATATCAATGAATCTATTGTATTTTGAGCGCCCCAATAATTTTTAATGAGAAATCTGTTCGCGATTATTAAACGTTACCGATCCTCCGTCATATCTACCTTTATTATCCAAACAAATACGGAAGATAATTTTAATTTACGGACATGGCACGCTCGTGTCATAGCTGTTTTGTTCCTGCGGAATGAACGTGTATTATTCTTATTTGACAGCTGTACTGGGACAAGCGGTAGGATCTGATTGGTGGAATAATTAGTAGATTTTTTTCAATCTCGTTACTTACCAAAAACAACTACTTACTTAAACCCGCGTCACTTCTGGCACACATAGGCAAAAATTAAATTTTCATTATGCATTGTCAATCTAAAGAATTCTTTATAGAGACTAGACAAAATATTTTAAACAACAGCGACCTTATTATTTTCTACTGAATTAATTTATACGTATGGGAGCTTTAATTTGAGTTGTGTTTCATTAATATCTGTGAGGTGGAACTTGAAATATAAACTTTCGCATTGACCAATAAATGACAGGTTTCAGAAAATAACGAAGATAAATTGCAAGGTAGCAAGCATGGCTAAGATTTCAGCCCAAACTTTAGTTATAATTAATTTACATTGCAGTCGAATTTAAATATTGTTACACGGATTATTCTACATATTTCATCTTATTATGTCCGTCAGGAT